AAAGAGAGGAGAACATGATGAAACAATTTCCACACCTCTTCGTATCAGATATTTCTTAAAATTCAAGGACGAATTACCCCAAATATCAGGTTAGTGACATATTAAAAGAATTTGAAAATTTGAGGAAATAAATTGAAGAAATGGTAAAGTATAAAAATGATTTAGAAATTATGTGTAAGACAAATTAAGAAGATTAGATGAATGAAAGGGGCATTTTGGTCATTTAAATGGAAATAGTTTTAAAATTTATTTTAATTAGGGTATTTAAAAAGAGGAAAAGGGGAAATGTGAGAAATAAGCTAAGTCATTATCTTCTCCTTCTTCCCCATGACCGTACTCTCCCCATAGCCAAATATAAGACTTCATTTAGCTAGTTTTTCCTTTAGTTTTAGTTTGGTCTTGAAACCTTAAGTGATGTGGAAGCTTAAGAAATGGTTAGAGAGGATTAAAACTAAGAGATGGATAATTTTTTTGAGATTGATGAAAATGGGTTTTTGAATGATATGTTGAAATATGAGTTTTTATTGAGGTTTAAAAGAATATTTGACTTGTCAAATAAGTAAATAAGATATGAGAAACATTGAAGGTGATTAAAAACATGTTAGAAAAAGTGGTATGATTCTTGGGTTGGAGTGTTCTTTAGAGAATGTGGGTGTTATAAGAAGCTAAATGGAGGAAAGTTAATTGAGTTAAGTGATATTAAGTTTAAGGGTATTGCTGGAGGTAAAAGTAAGAAATTTAGACAAAAATTGGATAAACATCGGGCTGAAAAATGGAAAATATGGGTAATGGTATCGGTACTGGAATAACAATACCAATACTATAGGTTTAAATTTGAAGAATTACGATGAACAATATCGATACTCATGAAATTAGTATCGATAATGATGTGGGTATCGATACTATGAGAAATGTATCAATGCCATAGATTCCAAAATAAAAAAATGGTATCGATACTGAAAGGGAGTATCGATACCATGGTAGGGGTACCGATACTATTGAGCATGTAATTGTAAGATAGTCTAAAATTGTAAGAGAAATTGAAAATAATAGTACTTTTGAGTATTATTAAAGTATAAATATTAGGGAATATACTAAGCTTGGTATGATATGTGTCTTTAATTGATGTTTGTGTATATCATAACCAAGCTCCTGAGTCAAGCAAGAAAAAGGGCAAATATAAAGTTTCCGATTAACCAGATATCATTACAGCTTATTAGCGAGGCTTATCAGGAGAGTGCATTTATTGTATTTATTTGAGATGAGAAAGACTCGCAATGAGTCAACTTAGAATGTTTTGATTTAATGTATGTTTTACAATATTTAATTACTTTCGTAAATGTGTATGGAAATGATATTATGAATAAAGTTTTAGGGTATGAATTGTTCTAAAATAAATGAAAATGCATAATAGTGCATTATTGTCAGAAAGGTAATAAAAATGAAAATGCATAGCAATACATTATTGGCATAAATGTGCCATAAATGAAAATGCATAACGGTGTATTATTGGCAGAAAGGATCCATAAATGAAAATGCATAACGGTACATTATTGGTAGAAAGGTGCCATAAATGAAAATGCATAACGGTACATTATTGGCAGAAATGTGTCATAAATGAAAAATTCATAACTGTGCATTATTGGCAGAAAGGTGCCACTCATGGTATTCATAAAAGGTGAATGATCATTTCGACACTTCCGTGCAATGTATGTACCTTAAATTCTTATTTAACATATATTGGGCAGAATAAAGTATAATTTGGAACAAAATACAAAAAAAATAAGTATGATGGGATTTCTAAGAATGATTTTGATGACTATATGAAAGAAACCTGGTTTAATTGAGATGATTAACTGATTTTTATGAACTATACGATTTAGTTTGTATTTCAATAGCTATAATTTGATTGTGTATGAATTTTTAGTTCATTTACATTATTATGCCTCGCTAAGTAAATACTTAACGTGTGTTGATTTCGCGCGTAGGTAAAAGCAAAGACTTAGCAGAGTAAGGAGTGCAACAATGAACATTAATCTAATGTTGACTAATTAGTAACTATAGGACAATCTTGTCTTATTTTGATAATTGGATGGCATGTATATGAATCTAAGAAAGATGCTCTGTAATGTATTTAAGTTATAACTTTGTAATAACTTACACGAATGTTTTACATTATATATAAAATGTTTTGTTTTAAATATCGAAACAAAATTCTACTGGTTTATAAATAAGAAAATGTTTTTAAAAATCATGTGACACTTGTGACTTTTGTACAGGAACGTATATGGGAAATGGGTGTTACATTGGGTATAGGGTAAGTCTTTTTATGGAAGTAGTTCTGGGGGACTACATTTTGGTGTACGAGTGGATGGTAGTTATATGATTTAAATACTCTTAAGTTTCACTTTTACGATATTCTTCTGAATCAATATTATGGTATTATAGTTTAATGCTTAATATGATTTTAATGGGGAAACTTTCTGGGATGGTAGGCCCATAGGCTCAAATGTACTCCCTTAGGTTGGCTCGTACACCCAATGGGTCTAGGGTAAATCCTTATGGATGCAATTATGGGAAGCTACATATCAGTGTTCGGATGGAGGGTATTATAGTGATTTTAAAAATCCGTTCTCTTGAAATAAACTACTATTGTTTTTAAACTATATGTACACGTATTTACGGTTTTGTGGGAACACACTAGACACCCATTTTCAATCTCCTGAATTTATATCTCCGAATGTTTCCTCTAAACTATAGGTTTCTTGATTGTTACCTGAAGATTTAATTAATGAACCTTAACTCACTACTAGAACATGTATAAGCTTGGATTAGTAAGAAAGTTTTATGCTTTGTCATATAACTACTTGTTCTTTAGCATAATCTAGTAGTTATGTTTTATTGAGCTTTCCCAAATATCACTTTGTTACTTAAAATTTCAAGTTAAAAGGATTGATCCTATGCAGTATCGATATCAGTAATAGGAGTTCCATCGATGTTTCTTGTAGAGTGTGATATAAGTGTAATTAGGGGGCATGTAGGTTACATTTTATTTGTATATTAGAGTCTATAATTGTTTTCATACTATGTTTATAAATTATTTTCCAGTGTGTAATGATTTAACAAAAATTTTAGTTTTCTTGGATTTTTGTGTGGGTCGCTCCGATGATTCTAATGTGACATCTCAGATTAGATCGGATCACTCAAATCGGTCTAATAGTGTTACATTTAGTGGTATCAGAGCTTAGGTTGAGATGAGTCTTATGGGTAGATCGACTGATCAACTATTGTAGGATATCTGGTCAATACATGCCCTAGATTATAATCGATCTCTTCAGAGCTGCAAACTTTGATGTCAAGCCCTCCTTATATAATAAGTGTACCTATGTATTCTGTTTGTTATGACTAAATCTGTGCAAAAAAAAAAAAAGAATGACATTAATATTTGTCCACTATTTGAATATCGTCTTGCAAGCAAAGTTCGAGTTATTCGTTTGAGAATTCTCACTGGACTCCTGATATGAAGCTGGGTTATGTATTCCAAGTGCTCTGCGATTATATGCCCGTATTAAATATAAGTGGAATTTAAAGTTGTATTTTGGGATACATTGTCACGGTTGAAAATATCAGAGTCGATCCTTAAAGGATTCAAGTACTAATGTATAATAATTAAGGATATTTTCTGAGGGTTACATTTTTATCGACATTGTTAATGGAATAAATGATTGTGGATGTCTTCTAAAGCTTTATGTCTATTGGTTTAAGTTTCTATAGTTTGATAGTGGACATGAACCGAAAAGAGCACACAAGTGTTTTGAACCACTGATGAGTTTTGGATTAACGTGTTGGATTCAAATCCAGATTAAGAGCTTGAAATGGTTGATGCCTATAAAATTAACATTGTTTTTCTGTTTGGGAATAAATGTTTGTTTGTATCAGTGGTTGGAGTATGACAAATTCTTGTAAGATTTCAAGTTGAACCTGAATTAGTGCTGGATGCGTTAAGAAGAAATTACTATATCAAAGTCTGCTACCCATGGATTTTAGATCAAGGTCAATTGTCCAAGCTCGAACAAAAATATTATATTGATTTGAAGGAGAGTGACATCGAGTCCAATTTTGAAGATTAGACAATATCCAAGTATCTTCGTGGATGAAAATATTTTGATTGGACATAAAGGGGCAATTTGAGTCATGGATTCTCTAAACTATATTCGATACATAGAATTATTAAACCTATTGTCCATCAACTTAAGTTGATACTATAGAATTATTAAACCTATTGTCCATCAACTTAAGTTGATACTGAAAACTAAAGGAATTATGGATGCCTTTTATGTGTCTGTGATAAACTGATGTCGTTCTGACCCCCACCAATGTTATTTTGATCAAGGATACTAAATTAAGATCTAATTGGTTCTTCGATGAGGATCTTGTTCAGACTTGGATTATGATAAGCGAGTTTTGTGAAGTAAGTGACTTTCAAGGGATAAATTTTAGTGGGGGATTTGTAGCCATGTAGAAGCTACTTACAAACTAAAGGATTGAAGGAAACTGATCAGTTTCTGCTTTTCTTTTACTCCTTAAATTTCAAGGATGAAATTTTTTTTAGAGGAGGAGAGTTGTCACGCCCCAAAATTTAACCAAGAAACTGTTTAAGAAATTAAAGTTAGAAATATCAATTGAGAAACAATTTATTGAATATTGAATTCTGATTTGAATAATAAACAACAATTGTTAACAATAACAACAACCTAAAGCTCAAAGAACGAACTCTAGTGAGAGTGAGGACCTCATGTATAATTTGTCCATTATTTGTTGAAAGTGAAAAATTATGTAAAATGAAAAAACTAAGTGTAGAAGGTGTTGAATCCACGTCTTGCTACATCAGGTAAGGCAACCAATGCCTCCACGACTAGGCTAAATCATTATTCAAGAATAAAATAACAAAAACAACTTTTATATTTTACGTAAATTAGATTTGTATCATCCAACCATCTCCCATTTTTTTGCAAACTAACCATAACCTGCTCTTCACCGTCGAGCTTCGATCGATCATCATTCAGTCGGCCGTGACGTACACTGCCCCCGGTATCAGTACCGTCGTCAACTCACGACCAAGACCTAGTTTCTCCCTCATCGTGAAACCTCACCGTAACCCTAGAGAATGCTCTAAAAGCTTCAATGGAAAACTAAAAGCTCACAATGGTTTTCACTCATTTCATTGCCTACGAGTTTTCCTTTAACAACACCTCCCATTCTAATGGATTCCTCTCATCGAACCAAGTCAACTGGTACTAGCAGTGTCTTCTTTGTCATCACCGTTGAGAGGAGTGAGTGAACGAAAGTTTGATCATTCGAGATATGATATTTTTCCATGCTTCATCAAGAAATAACACTTGCATGAGACTACCAATATGTTGATCTGCGTATCTGGAGAAAATGGTGTGATTATGAGCACTGGCGCCCCACGCACCACCCCTGCTCATGGGGTTTGTCTTCTGGACAGTTTTTAAAAAATGGTTTGAACCAGGTTGAATAAGTCGGACTGATTCAAGCTAAGCCGCTTGAGCTGAGCCATTTGAGCTACCTTAATCGAGTCGAGCAGTGTAATACCCTTTTCCCGTATTCGTCCCTGAATACAAGTCATAGATGTCAGATGAAAATTTTTAATCAATTCTGAAAAAATTGTTTCGTTAAAAAATCATTAAATTTAACATGAATAATCAAAACTACTTAACCGCGTAAAATCGAAAAATAATATTTGATAATCCAAATCAGACAACAATCAAGGACTTCTCAATTATATCATATAGCAAGTGAAACTGCCTAAATAGAAATTCAACTTTACTATAATAAAATACAACTTTATCAAAATATAAAAATAAATTCCATATATATATTACTTACTAAAATTCATATATAGAAACTATTACAAATAATTTAAACATCATAGATATATTAGAGCATTTCTAACCCATTTTAAATCCAACAATATTAAAATATTATAGACACTTATTTGACGTATACATGTCAACTAGAAAATCAAAACAATAGTAGGATGTTATTACTGATACCGTTAAGTAGTCCTTGATAAGTGATGCCAAGATAAGTTCCTTACTCCACTTGAACTTCTTTTCCTACGCGTGAAAACCATCACATACTAAGCATATACTTAGTGAAACATTATCATAAATAAAGTAAGTCAGAGATATATAAAATATCATATAAATCATAGTAAGCAAAATATAATATGATAATATTGAACAGATAAAACATACTTGTTAAGTCACTTTCGTATAAATAACTTGCAAATAAGTAGTCCAAATATAAAACAATTTATATCAAATCGAAATATATATTCGATGAAAGATTTATTTTCATTCATTCAGTTCATAGCCCAATGAATAATGAATGATAATGAAAGGTGCGTGAGTTAGACGAGTGTGCGTAATATGCAATTTAATTGCCACATAGATAATATGCAGTTTTTGTGTCAGACATATGTCTAGGTACTGTAGAACACATCATCATTATACAGGAAATCAATAATCGAAATTGTAGCTCACAACTTCAAAACATAATGAAGTCCCATAATGTATATATAGTTCCATGTAGAATGTACCGATATAGAATCAAATAAATGATCACTCAACCTCATGGCATTCCAATTGAACCAATAACTCTCAATGCATATACAATGAATTTATAACAAAATCACGTATCTTTCGTTCAATATAAATATCCATATATACTCATATATCAATTATCATATAATAGTGCATTGACAGTTCATACCTGAAATCATTCAAATACTATTTAATAAAACATTATGAAAATATATCATGATGTGATTCAAATTATTTTTCATTCCAAAACATTCGAGGCTGACTCATCACAAGTCTTCCTCATATCATATATATAATATAAGTAATAATGCACTCACCTGATATGCCCTACTAGCAAACATTTACTATTGATATAATTCACTTTTGCACTTTTTCCATAGCTTTAACTTTGTTTGTATCTCGATTTTGATCACGAACTACCCATGTCACTTGAAATCGATTCTAACATAATATCTACCCATGTTTTGTTACTACCTGATCATTATTTTCTATTGCGCATGCTTTATGACAGAAAAATCTTAACCGTATGAATTTCTAGTTTGCATGCTTCGAACAGTAAAATAAAAGCATGAAATAAAACAACAAATATCCTAGTGTTTGTATATGGTTTAGGGTATGCTCAAATTCCGTTCAGCAACTAGGTTTGGTTATATAAAAGGGACCTGTTAAACTCCATGGGATACATTGTAACCCCCTAGACCTGGCCTATGCCTTACGATAATATCTAGTGGATTGCGATAAAGTTTTCCGAAACATTTTCAATAATTTAAAACCATATTCCAAATAAACATCTTTAAAATGTATTTGATAATATTAAAATTCAATTCCAATAAATAAAAGTCGTAGTAAAAACTAAATAAAAATAAAATATTCTAACATCAATATTGAAGGTAGTATAAATCATAAAACCAACATTTTCATTATATAGGCACATGTCACCCAAAATAAATGCATCTCGGAAGATAAATACATTACAAAAAATATCATTGTACTAATATGCCGATCCTCCAAGTGCCAGGTTCTGGATACCTATCGAAAATATCTAAAAGAGAGAAATTTGGGGGAGTGAGCTAGGGAGCTCAGTGTGTTACAATAGTTAAAAAATAAAACATATAATTTAGATTTCAAAATTGTTTCATCAATAAAGTCATGAAACGTCGGTAAAGTTTCCAAAACCAGTTTAGTTCTAAATTGTGAAAGCGTGAGTAGTGCTTTAGCTTAAAATACAGAATCATCGTCCAACCAAACACCATATGTAGTTCCCTAGAACTGTATCCATAAGGACTTACCCTAGGCCCGAAGGGCGTAGGTGCCAACTAAGGGAGCACCTTGGTCCATAAGGTCTTACCTAGTCGAAGAGTACATACCTACTTGAGGGGAGTTCCCTAAGGCCCATAAGGACTTACCCAATGCACATAGTAGAGGTTCCATACTAAGGGAGTACTTTAGGGTCCATAAGGTCTTACCGCTAGGCCCATCAGGCCTAGGAGCCCACCCAAAAGTTGTCTTAGGTCCATAAGAAATTACCAGTTTGATCGGTTTGAACCAATATAAGGAATTATCAATTTAACTAAGCTAAACATGTAGAGAATTCATAATAGATCCCATCGTACCTCAAAGAAAAACATTTTTCAGACAATAACCAGTGGTAGCAAAAAATCAGAGTTCAGACATATTTATTTATTAGTAAAAATAGTAACAGGAGAACATGAATCAAATAATCAGGCTTAAATCTTCATAAATCTGAAATTAGACTTTTAATCAGATAAATCATACGGAAACAAGTTAAACTGATAGTCACATTGCAAATAAAATAAAACAGTCACGTGCATATGGTATTTCAAACATATATTTAAAATAGGTATATAATACACAAGGAACACACCACGCAAAAAGAAACAATCTGAAATATCTATTGAGCACCAATTTCACTACGTTCTTCGATAGTACGAGAACTTAAGTCATAACAATACTGAGTTATTATCAGAGTAATATTCTAAATTGAGTAATTCATAGGGTTGTAGAACTACACGAGTATCCACGGGCTCTCACGGATGATCAGATCGAGAGGTACTAGGTCGAGCAGTTGAACGATCAAGAGATCCACAAGTACCTTTAGTATACCATAACATTATTTAGCCATTGACACTTCAGTTAAATTTGATGCATTGAAATAAATACTTAATTTACATATGCATGTTTGGGTTTAATGGTCAATTCGTAGACTTTCAGGTTTAAATTTCACAAAACGAACTTCGAATTTGGACTCAGGACGTCGAGAAACATAAAATATGACTTTTTAAAAAATTTGACTTTTTGGTCAAAGTCAACGGTTTACAAAAAAGTCAAAGTCAAAATATAGGTCAAAGTTAATGGTTCGGGTCAAGGTTAATAGGTCATACCGATTCAGATTGACTCAATTCGATACGAGTTAACTCTAATCGGTTTAAACTAGTTCATGTAAGCCCAGACCGATTAGATCGGTCTTAAATGTTTTCTTGGAGCGTGCAAGAGCCCTACACGCACTTTTGGCGCATGGCGGCACATTAAGCAATGACGAAGGTCGGGGTGATCGACCGATACTTCCAGTAGAATCTATACACCAACCAAAACTCAAAACAACCTATTTTCAATCCAAAACACCAGGAAATAACCGAATAAAACGATTGAAATCTTATCCACAGCAGACGAGGTGAATGAAGACAGTGGATGACGAACCTAGTCGGGGGTTTGATCGGAATCACCTCAGGAACACACTGTTGGAGGCGGTGAGGTACCCGTGATCAGGTTTGAACGGAAATGAGGAAAATATGAGCAGGGACCAAGGGTTCCCATGAAGCTTTATCAGATTTTACACGACATTTGACTGCATATTAACGTTGATGGTTAGTTGGGGTTGTATCGCAGGAGGCTGTCGATTTGTCTGGTGGTGTCGGAACACCACAACAGCAACGGGGATAGGTGAATTACAGAGGGGTGCGATGGTTAGGGTTTAAAAATTAGAAATTTGGGGATAATTTAGGGTTGGCTTACTCGACCAGTGGGTCTCAGTTTGGGTATATAGTCCAATGTATAAAACATAAAATAAATAATTATTAAAACATATTTAAATAGTGACCTAGGGTATATGGTAGGGGGATGGACATCCATACCCTTAGTCACGGGTTCAAGCCTGGCTAACCCTATCTCCTATTTTTTATTTTGGTGTCAGGTGGGTTTGGGTAAATTATGAAGGTAGTACCTAAACTTTCCAAACTTTTGAAATTAACCCCATAATTTTTAGAAATTTCTATTTTAGTCTTTTAATTAAATTAAATAAATTATATATTATTTAAATAAAATTAAGGTGTCACAATTCTCTTCCCCTTAAAAGAATTTTGTCCTCAAAATTCACCAGAGTTGAACAGAAAATGAAAACTAGGTCTCTAAAGGTTCCTTTATAGGATAAGGGCTAATTACCCTATTGACAGTAATAGAGAATCTTTCTAGACTCGGAGTGGAAACAGGGTCTTGGTGCCTTAAATCAAAAGTCTGTGGGATCTCAAGTTACATAACTCGAGTATGGAAAGGGCATTTTAAGACATGCATGACAAGAAACAGAAATAACCATAAATATACTTGCAAAAGTCTCTGGCTCATCTCGATCACTAGAACGTCTAGTGTAGACAAGGGCAGGCTATCGAGCCTTAGAAGCAACTGGTCCTCTACTCTACGATCGAGCTCTACCATTAACCCTATAAATAGTTCTAGAAGTCCTACTCTATGAGCGAGGGTCCGATCGATAGAAGCTGGATACAGACAATTTCTCAAAAAGTGCTCATTAAATCCAAAGTGATAAGAGGTACCCATTTGTTTACTACACTCTCCCTCGTGTCGATTCACACAGTTCTTGTAACTCGGTACCGAAGTAATACCTGAAGAATTGTCTCGACTAACAAATCTAGGTGGAGGTGACATAGGCCTCAAACTAGTACAACTCCTCTGATGAGCAGTAGTACTAGTCCTCTTATCGGGGCGTGCGAAAGGTTTAGACTGATTGGAAGATCTCCTCGATCGCTCTCGATCTACCCTATCTCTATCTCAAGAAAAAAGCCTCAACTTCCTCAACTTCTTTCACTCTCCCTACTAAAACATCAAACACCTCATCCAGAGGAGTAACCATCTAACGACGCAGCTCATATCTGAGTCCCACAGCAAACTTTCGGCACTTATCCCTCTTGGTAGGTACCATACTAGAACCATACTTCAACAACTTTAAAAACTCTATCTCATTCTTAGAAATTATCATATCACCATGTACTAGGTCCTGAAACGGCTACCGTCTGTGAGCTAAACAACACTCTCCCAGAAAGTAACTTCTAAAATGCTCCCTAAAGAAATCCTATGTTAAGCGATCGATCAGAATACTTCTCACAATAGACTCCCTCCAAGTGTGGGCATTCCCGTACAACATAGAGATGACTCCCAAATAATGTCATTGTAGAACTATACTTAGTTCATCCATGTGTCGC